TTCCCTACATTCTCTGAGAATCTGTTCATGGTGCCACTGGCCATTGGGAGACCATGAAGTGTGGGGCTGGGACACCAGAATTAGAACATGTTCATATTCTTCTTCATGAGTAAAGTAGTTTGTGTTTTGATTAACAGGGTTCAAGTGACAATAGTTACTTGCATCACTAACTTTAAAATAATTTAGGAAGGAAAATGGGCTCTTCAGGGTGAGATGGAGCTGTCTGGCTATGGGTATTTAATAGACTATTACCCAGGTGAAGGCAGTGGTCTCAACTTTCTTCATAGTGATGGGAAATAAACACCCTCCAGACTGCAGTTCCTCAGAGCTACTTAAACATGTTGCATGAGCTAAACATGTCTTTTTCCTTCCACTCACTGACTTTTAGGTATTTGCAAGTAAGGGAAATAAATCTTGCCCTTAGAGGATACAGGTGCTGCCATTAACCGTGAATGCAGCTGAATCCAGGCTGAGCTGAATGTAAATACTTGGTGAATATTTTATCACAATAAAATCTTGAAGAAACCTGTCAGAGCAAAATCATTGATCTTATTTTCTATAGGGTCCAGGAATCCTCTTTGAAAAATAAGATGATGTAATTTTAATATACTGCTTTGAAGATTAGTTTCTCCTGTGCAGGGAATGTTCTTGCTTGCTGTCTGTGACATTAGACAAAGCTCACTTTCAAAAACATGGTTTGGCTTCCCACCAAGAACAGAGAGAGAATCTCAGCATATGAGATAGGGGTATAATGTAAGATTTCAGATACTGGAGTTTGTCCTCATTATTCTCAAATGGATTATTTTAATGAAATGGATATATTTCTCTTACATCTGTTTTAAAAAGTGTGTTCTTGTTTATGGGAAGATGATGCTTAGGTTCTGTGGTGGGTTTGTGAGCTCCCAGCTGAGACCACCAGCCAGCAAGGGGCTGTAGCACGTTCCTCTCGGGGTGTGGGAAAGCTGCAGCCTGGTCCCAGTGATACTGGCCCTGCTTTTGTAGTAAATATATTCATCAATATCTGCCTCATTCATGCCTTGTAGGGCATACCACTGTTTTATTCCCAACCACAGAACGTTGCTTTCCTGCTTACAGTACATTTTGACCTCCTGAGTGTGTTTTTGTTCACTGATACCCAAAGGTTTCCCTTTTACTATCCACTGTAAAGTGCCCAGAAACAAAACTAAGCAGTAAGGGTGTTGCACTTCTTGCTGCCACAGATGTTGCCATAGCCTGTCAGATCTTACAGTCTGACATCTTTGACTGAAAATTAACAGCTCAATGTTCATTCCTGGGACAGGTGTCAGTTTTCTACTTTTGAGCAGTGTCAAGACTGGCTGAAGCGGCTGAACAACGCGATCCGCCCGCCCTCCAAGATCGAGGACCTCTTCTCCTTTGCCTATCACGCCTGGTGCATGGAGGTGTATGCTAGTGAGAAGGAGCAGCACGGGGACCTGTGTCGGCCAGGTATGTGGAAACACTTGGGGGATGCATCCCAGATGCACTGGCTGGCAACTGCCAGTTTGCTGAAAGCCAGAGCTTTCACCAGAAGTTATTAACAAATTCAGTCTGTGCTGTTGTAAACTGAACCTGGGAGATTGCAGCTTGGAATTTCTTCTGTGCTTAAGTCCTTACACTTCTTCACTGACAGGTGAATATACTCTGTGTGGTATGTGTAGGTATAGTTCCACCATCACTGGCATGAGGTGTCCTGTAATAATCTGCATGTCTGCCCCTCGATCTGAGTTTTGTTCTGGCCAAACAAAGCAGGGATGAGCTCTCACCATTGTTGCTTTGGGATCAATGCACAAAACAGGACCTGAATATCCTGAGGAAATAATTGTGATGGATTTGGTTTAGTCAGTCATGTATAATACTAATACTAACTTTGATCACCAGGGCAGCAACTTTCAATCTAAAACATTTTCTATTGATGGTGTCCACGTTTTTTTGCAATTGGCCAGAACAGTAGTCTTAAATGTGGATGATGGGGAGCAGGTAGATGAAGGAGAAGGAGGTCCCTGACCTGCTCTTGAGGTTCATTCCCAGCTGCAAGACAGAGACCTATTTTAGTGAAATGTCATCCTTGCTGGAACATTTTGGAAGCCCATAAGTAAATAGAAGCTAAAAATTGTGGTGCTGGTGGTTACGAATACTAGGAAATCTAAGTTGAGGCCCCTACAGTCCAAGGCTCTCTGCTCCATGTTGTCTGAGAAAGGTGTCCTGGTTACCAGGCTGAGGGTTGTTAGTGTGATTCACTTCTTACAGCTTCTGGGGCTGAGCAAGAACTATCATCTCTTTGGTGTCTGAGGAAGAGGAGTCAACAGGCAGCACACAAGTGGGAGAAGGTGCTTCTTGGGCCTGGTGCTTCACTGGTTCCTGCACTTCACACACTTTGTGTTAATGTTTACTGAAAAAAAGGCCAAAAACCAAAGAATCCTCAGAGCAGAATTTTAAACTCGTGTCTCTTCCTTCCTAACTAACTTCAGGAACTGGAAGATAGACATGTAGATGACTTGCTAAGTCTCCTTATAGTCCATTTACCTTTTAATTAGCTTTTAGCAATCAAATTTTTGGTCTTGTGACTGTGTCTGCCAAATAATTTTCTTTAGTAACTTTTTCTTCCCTGTAGCTTGTTTATTTCTGGTGGCAAATACTCTCCTTCCAAGAGTTGAATTGTAGTTGAAACAAATCTATGGGAATGTTATGGAAGTTAATCCCAAGACATGGTAATTTATTTTTTGTATCCAAGGAGCCCAATATTTGGTAGATACAGAGAAAAATATCAAAGTGCTTTAAAATCTAAGTACCAACTTCTGGGGAAAAAATGTAAGGAATGGGAGTTATGAACTCTGGCTCACAAGATCAGTTTTCATAGTCAGAAGGCACAAGACCACAAAACGTTTATCTTGCTTTTTCTCTGATTTTGAGAGCTGATTAGGATGCTTCCAAAATGTTATCAGTCTGAGTTCAAAATGCCTCTAAACAGCAGGAGGGACAGACAAAATGTTAAGACCAGGGTTTCATTTCTCAGAGGAAAATCTGCTCCCACGACATGCACAGTAGCTGAGAAATTAAAAGGCAGAAATCAAACAGAATATTTCATGTTCATGTAACTTCATGTGTTTGTCTTCCAACCCACTAGCAGCTGGGGGTAGCTCCAGTATTCTCATTTGCTATCCAGAAAAATCCTGAAGGAACTATCACAAATGTTAACCACCATTCCCCACAGCAGCTGATAATGAAGTCTGTCCTCAGTGCTGCAAGAACATGCTGCTGTTCCAAGACAATGCTGTCTGGGTTTGTTGGTGGGTTTTTTTAAGTCTCTGCCAAGGAAGAACATGACAGAGGTGGAATATAATTGTCCCAGTTTCACCTCTGCACTTGACAGAGGGTCAGAGGGCTCCTCAGAGTTGGCACCTCTCTGGAGGCTCCAACTTTTGTGCAGCAGGGACTGAGCAGCTGATGTGTTGAAGTAGGTGGTGAGGAGATAATCAGTTCCAGCTCAAGCAGAGCTCACGTGAGAAGCAGGAGATGGTTGGCAAGCTCCAGTCTAGCTGACCTGGCAGCTGGGAAGGTGAAGCAGAACTGCAGTGCTTGTGTGGTGCTGAGATCAGCTCCCTGCAGAGAGGACACCACAGGAGGCAGAGCTGGTGCTTTTTTTATGGGACTGGTGGACCAGTAAAGAGAGTAAGTGATGAAGGTCAGTCAGGTCCATAGATTTTCCTGCCATGTGCCTGTTGAGTGGTTGTTCTCCATTTGCACACAGTGTCAGTCTCACATTGTGCCTTCCAAAAAATGTGAGAAAATCAATCTCTTGGCACAGATCTTGCACATTTCCATATTGCAAAGCATGTCTGGATTTGTAAAGTACCAGTGTCAGTGGATTAGCTGACCTGGAGGAGTGGATAACATTATAGCTTTTCTTTCACATTTAATTAAGTCCTCTTGTTAGGCTGCTAATTTATGATTAAATTACCTATTTCTCTAGCTCAAATTGTTCTGCAATGTCCCTAAAAAAATTATTTCAGACAATGTACCTTTATATCTATGAGATCTACATATATCTGAGGCATTGAAAGTCTTTAAGGGTTTTCTGAAATACATAATGGAAAGCAATAAAGCAGCAATTTTAAAAGAGATTTATTTTTCCCCCTCTTGGGTGATGATTTAACCTCATGATTTAATGATACAGTAATTTAAAGAGACAAGCAATGCACAGACTTTCAGCCTTTCATTGTATTTAGTGTTGCTCACATGCTTATTAAATTTATCACATTTCTTAGCTCTGTGAACCCGGAAATTTAGGACATTACTCTCTTGTACATGTTCATTTAGTATGTTCTGATTCTCTAGGGCTTCAGCCTATCAGAACATGTTTTTCTTTATTACCATTGTCTATTTTCCCATTGTATTTTTCATACTTTAAAAGGAGTGTCTAGGAAATAAAGGGAGCTCATTGCAGTTCCTTTAATATATTAATCCAGGAATTGGTGAGGATCTTGTGACTGATATTTGAGTCAAACATTCATTTATGGATTTCATCTTCATATCTCCACATGACTGATGGAAGCATAATGTCCAATTTACAGATGGAAAACTGAGATGCAGGTGAAATTCCAAGACTTGCCTACAATCACCCAGGAAACCTGTGGCTAAAATTTCATGCTAAATGGAGATTGCCCAGGTTCCAGACCCCATTCCCTGTGTCATCCACTCACATATCAGTCAGACCAGAGCTTCACATTCTTTTCATTGATACAAAATTCTCCTCAACTTCAGACAAGAAAACCTACCAAGCATTTTCCCCCTCAAACTGCTGATGGATCCTGATTTGCTTTTGTTGAAGTGCCTGGTTCAGGTGTTACTGTTTCTTGTAAGAGCTTACAGAAGCTGGTCATTCCAGAGGAAAAAGTGGGTTCTCCTCATCTTGATTTTCAAAACAGGGTTGTGAAATGTAGATGATGGTTTTGGAGTGTTCCTTTCTCTTTTCAGTTTTGAATAAGTGTAAGTTCAATGGTGGTTTAACTACTTGCAAAGGTAGGATTCTCATTTTGGATTTCTTTTCTCTCCCTGATTTTGATACCCAGGAGAACATGTAACTTCAAGGTTTAAAAATGAAGTGGAGCGGATGGGTTTTGATATGAACAATGCCTGGAGGATTTCCAACATCAATGAAAAGTACAAGTAAGTTACGTGGGTTGCTAATTCACAGCCAAATGCCTTCTCAAAACACCCATTTTGTTACAGCAGATCACTGGAACTTTTTCCAAGTTCTTCAGTTTCTAATAAGGGACAATTAGAATTATGATTTTGTTTTGTTTTGTTTTTTATTGAAAAAAAAAAAGTGCTTTTAAAGTATTTTTTAATATTTTATGAGCTGCTGCAATTTTGTAGGCTTAGAAATACCAAATCCAGATTTGGATGTGCTTGCTGGAGGATGTCTTAGAGAATAAACATTATAATGGAAGAAATGGAAGCCTTAAGTGAAGAGAGTGGAGTTGGAACTTACTAAATAAAAAAAAATTCTGTGTCTTATTCTCCAACTTCTGACAAAGACTTGTATTAAAAAAAGAAGTTGGTTCGGAAGAGTTAAGCTTGTAGATCCTGAAAATAAGTGAGAACACTCCCTGTGCTCCTGAAAACCTGAGAAATGTCCTCTTCTGTAGCTGCAGGAGCAGAGAAAGGTTTTCCTCCATGCATGGGTGGTTGGACGGAGTCCTGGGTGGTCCCTGATCCAATTCAAAGCAAAACCAGGGTTGGCACTTTGTGATGAAATGTTTCATTGCTCTGTCTTTGCAGGGTAATGACTTGCAGCTGTCACTGCAGGAAGAATCTGTCTTGGTCTCTAAAAATCTAGGGAACCAAAAAAAATAGCTATTCCTTGCATATTTAATAATAAAGAAGAGAAAACTTTTATGTCATATGGAAGCAGGATGGCACAAACTGCCCCTTTCCTTCTTGTGGCCAGCACTTGGTAAAGAGCATTTTTTCAGGATGATTGATGTATTTTTCTGAATAAATGGGCTCTGACAGGAGTCCATATCTGTCCTGCTTCAACAGTAAATCCTTCTCTTTGAGTGAATGGACTGGGGATGAACTAGTGCAGGGTCCAGCAATGTACTTCAGCCACTGGCTGCTTGTGCTCTTCTCATGGGCAATCAGGGCTTTATTAGTCAGCTGGTGGGGTAGGAGGTGCATCTAGTAGAAGAAAGTTCCAGTTCTCCAGTCAAACACAAGCCAGTGCTCTCAGGTTCCTGCCTCCAAGCAGGGTTGAGCAGCCAGTGCCCTTTTTCCATGAGTCTTCTGTCCTGAATCCAGTAGCCCAAGGTGGCTTGCTGCTGAGCCACAAATCAAGTGGCCAATGGAGAGACATGGAATTTTTTTTCTATTGTCCACTTTATTTCAGCTGCTGGAGTTAATTATTATTATGTAAATTGCTTACATGAGAATTTCCTGAGAAAACACCAGCTTGAATCTCCTAATTCTGAAGTGCATTTGTGCACCTGGATGTTCCCAGTGATCCTGGATATGCAAAGCAGGAGTTTATTAGTATAGAATGAAACAGGAATTAACAACATGGCAGTTTTCTGAGGTGAACAGCTGCCAGCTTCCTTCCACTACTTATTTGTGTGTTTTGGCTGGGAAGTATGGAACTGCTCCCCACCACTGACATCTAACCCTTTGCACCACTTTTCTCACAGGCTCTGTGGGAGTTACCCCCAGGAAATCATAGTTCCTGCCTGGATTACGGATAAAGAGCTGGAGAGTGTGGCAAGCTTCAGGTCCTGGAAGCGTATCCCTGCTGTTGTGTACAGGTGAGGCTCTTGCAGGTGGAGCAGCCTGGCTGTAAATGGGGTGTTCCAGCAAGTAAAAGCTGAAATAAGTTGTAACTGGGAATCTTGGCTTGTAATGAAAGGTGTTTGGGCTTTTCAGGCCCCAGATTGACCCCTCACTGAGCCTGATAAACTTTAGCAAAAGTGTTAAAGGGTTTTTAAAATAATATTTTTATAATTGAGTCGAAGTAGAGAGAGGTCTGGTTTATGTGTTGCTGTATTTTTGCATCTATAACATGTTGTGGGTTGTTGCATGAAGGCCCAGGACCTGCTAGGGTGGAATTGGAGAACTAGGCTGGAAAGAGGCAACAAAACCTGGCCTGGTCCCCTCTGGGCTGCCTGGTGGAGTGGTAGCCAGGCTGCTCCTCCCTGGGTCTCTTTTCTGGAGTGAGGTCCTGCTGTTCCACTCCAGTAGGATCCTAGAAGTGGTGTAGAGAGCAGGATCTTGGAACAAAACACAAACCACCCTGAGCGTTTAGATATCAAACAAGAATGGCAGGACCCCTGGCACGAGAAGACATTCAGCAAAGAGTCCAGCTCTGGAGCCCTCAACACTGGCAGGACATGGACCTGTTGCAGTGGGTCCAGAGGAGGTCACAAAAATGATCCAAGAGCTGGAGCAGCTCTGCTCTAGAAACAGGCTGGGAGAGTTGGGGTGTTCAGCCTGGAGAAGAGAAGGCTCCAGGGAGACCTTAGAGCAGCTTCCAGTGCCTGAAGGGGCTCCAGGAAAGCTGGGGAGGGACTTGGGACAAGGGCAGAAAGGGATGGGAGAAGAGGGGAGAGGGGAGAATGAGATGAGATCTTAGGAAGAAAGTATTTACTTTGAGGGTGGTGAGACATGGACCCAGGTTGCCTAGAGAAGTGGTGGAGGCCACTGGAGACTCTCAAGGTCAGGCTTGCTGGGGCTTTGAGCAACCTGATCTATTCAGAGGTCCCTTCTCACTGCAGGGGTTTCACTAGATGACCTTTAAAGGTCCCTTCCAACCCAACACATTCTGTGATTCTTTGCATTTGCTGCCTGTGTATGTATTGATTTATACCTATTCAAAACTCCAAGAACATGTGAGGCAGCAGCAGGCACTGGCCCTTGTCAAGCCCTAAATGAGGTAAAGGAGACTTACATGTTCATTCTGAGTGGGAGTAATAATCTTTGAATTCCAAGCACATACTGTAGGAGCACTCAGCATTTACAGCTTCTGCAAGTCATTCCTAGGGAATTCACCTCAGTTAAGATAGACTTTTATTTTCAATATGAAAATGAAAAAACACAAGTTGAAGATATCAACCCAGCTGAAGAAATGTTAAATGGCATCTCTGCCTGGGTACTCCTTGGGTTTTTCTCTCATTCTCATATGGACAGTACTCAAGACTGCAGAATAAACAGGGACAAATATCAACATTACTTAAGGGAGATAGAAAACTCAAATTACAGCAGGATGTAGGTGTCAGCTCTGTCTACGTATTTGAGATAGTTTTAATCAGTTTCTTCATTAGACTGAGTGCAACAAAACATAACAAAATTGTGTTCCTGAGATACTGGTTTTTGGCAGCCTCTTCAGTAAGAAATATATTTCAGCATCTGTTTGTTGTTGGGTTTTTTTTAACAAATATTCTGGAACCTGTCATTTAATACCTTGGCCGCTTTCCTGGTGTAGTTACCCTCCCATAAATGTTTAAAATCTCTTTGAAAAAATCAAACGACAGAGGGATTAAAAAGATAATGAATACTGGTAATGCCATTAAGTCTGCCTAGCCACCCATTCCTTCTGAGCAAACAGAAAGGAAAAGCTGCTCTCTGAGGGACAAGCTAAATTTAGAGAGCAGCAAAGCTGACAAATTCATACGACCTGGGTCAGAGGATCACGTGCTCAAGGGTTAAGAGCAGGCCACAAAACATGATGTACCTGGCTTAAGAGTTCTTGTTCTGTGAAGGGAGAACAAATTAGCTTGTGGCAGCAGACCATCCTCTTTAAATCCTCCCATTTTTGCTTCCAAATAATAAAAGGATGAGCATGGTCTGGTTCTGAATGTGAAGGAATTGCTCCATCCTCTGTTCAGCTCTGAGAAAAATGCTTTCCAGCATGTGCTAATTTTTAAAAGACTTGAGCTATTTTATTATTATGGTAGCACCTAGAAGTATGTCTGTTATATATATCTACAGAAGACAATAGTGTAATTTATGTGGGGTTTTGTATTCAACTTGGAACCTGCATTTCAGGCTGCTTTGTGCCTTTTATTGTGCACAAAAGTTGTGTGGGCACAGAACTGGGGACACCTCACCAGGGAAGCATCCCTTCTCCTTTCCTCACTCTACAGGAGAAGGGAATAGCTTCCTTTGCATTCTGAGGGATTTCTGGGATAGGGACTGAAATGTTCAGAAGACCTCAGACTGAAATGGTTTCATCCCTGACATTCAATTTTCTGCAGTTCTGTTAAGACTGTGTTAAATTATCACATCATTTCTCATTTGTCATTTTAAAATCAGTGGGGGAAAAGTTTTTCTCTTTTGTGATTTCTTTTTTTTCCTTATCTTGACATTTAGTAATAGATTTTTTTTCAAGACATCCAGTTCATCATTCTGGCTCCAGAGCTCACATCAGGTGGTGCTTGATGATCCATATGATTGGAAACCCATGTATAGTTTTCTCTCTAGATATGTTGCCATAAAAACAGCTTTTTGCTTCCTTTTGGAGGAGCAAGGGGCAAAAAGCTCATTCAGCAGTTTTTGATCTGCTGAAGATGAATTTGGGACTCATAGTTTCATTATTGAGCACAGTTCAAAAATTTGCTCGTTTTGCTTTACCTCAGGGGGAGAAAAAGTAATATTGATACTTAAAATTCATCCAGTAACTTGTCTCAGATATTGAACCCTGGGACAGAGCCCAGAGAAACAGACACTTGGCAACAAAAAGCTCATTATTCTCACTAAGTGTTGAGGAGCTGGACATTGTGCACAGGCTGAAGAGCTGAGTTGGGCTGTCAGGAGTGTTGCTTCTGTTTTCTGATCAGATTTCTAGAAAAATCTCCCTTCCCCCCCCTCCCCCCCGGCTCCTGCTGGTTTTCTGTTTGCAATTTTTAAACATCTAGGCCTACATTTATGTAGCTCAGTTTGGGTTGTAACAGGCTTTTTGTAGCTTCTGTTTTGGTCCCAGAAAATCAAAGTTAGGAAGAAGCCTTTTTGGATTTTGTGGGAAGACAATTTGACTTCACATGTTACATAAAGTGTCCTAAACTCATGAGAACCCACCTGGAAATGAACTGTGGTGAGGGTGAGTCTTTTTGTCTTACCTACTGCTGAAGGTGATGACCTGTTACAGGCAGCATTTCTGCCAGCACAGGAACCAAAGCTAGACAGAATGTTGCTGTGTAAAGGTCAACAGAAAATTAGTGACTTGCTAAATTATATCTGTGAATTGCAGTGATTATTTTATTCAATTACAAGTACTAGAAGTTAAATAATGGTATGGAGGGAGCTCTTCAAACCTTTGTTAGTCCTCTCAGTCTTTGTAGTTACAAGGGCTTGGTGGATTTATTGTTGTACTCAAAAGGTTGCTTGAAGAGAGGGGTTTCTCCACATTTGCTTGGCTTTTTGTGAACTCCACCAGGAACTGTGTCCAGTTCTGGAGCACCCAGGCTGGTGGGAGGTGTCCCTGCCCATGCAGGGAGGTTGGATCTAGATGATCTTCAAGGTCCCTTCCAACCCAAACCATTCCACGATAACACAAGGAAGATGGAGCATATGGGGATGTGCTGTACCTCACACAGTGATGCAGTGTTTGGAAAGGGTTTGTGATTCTCTGGTGGTGATTTCCTGTTCAGTTTCTGCAGGGAGGCTGCACGGGGCTGCCTCTGGAGCAGGTTGGGAAGTGAACTCTCCAAAGAGTGGAGACTTTGGATGAATTGTTTTAATTATTTTTTTTTGTTGGTTACTGAGATCTGACTGACACCATCTCATCCCCAGCTCTGTTTCCAGGGACCTCAGAATCACACTTAAACTAGTTGCTATTTTTTGTCCCACTGGCCAGGCTGGTTGGAATGAGTGTGATTCCTCAGATCTCCAACATGACCGTAAATAGAATTGTGTGCTGATTTCTGCTGGTGCATCTGAACATTGCATATTTGCTCAGGATTAGAAGCATTAGAGCTTCACAACTATCAATGAACTGAACTTCTGGCCTAATGATCCTTTATTATTTGTGGTATAAATGGGAGGCAAGAACCCAGAGATGAATGTAGAATTGTTTATGAACCTATGAAAACAGTTCCGCAGGTGGGTAGTAATGAAATCTGGGAGAACATATGGAAAAATAAAGGAGCTTATCTGAGTGCTCAAAATGGATTTCTCACATGTATAATGATGGTCTATTTTCCTTTGTTATTTGTGCAAGCATAGCAGGGAGCTAGGTGGCCTTTCAGTGATTGGCACTGATTTTTTTTGCTGAACTAATTTGGTTTCAGTGAAGCTGTTCCTGGAAGGCTTTTCATTTCAGCAGAAACACATTTTCCTTTGGTTCAGTTAATGCAGCGTTGTCAGTTGTTTCCTCTCACTGAAGGAATTTTATATGAAACAATTACAAAGAGAGCTATGAAAAAATACTTAAAATACCATCTCACAACCTGTTTTATAATGTTAAAGCTTTTGCAACAAGAAGCCTTCCCCTGAGGTGAGGGTTGATTTGAAGGCAGCTGCCGTGCCTGCAGACATGGAGCTGCTCAGGGCCTGGCAGGGGTTTGACAGCCCTGACAACAAATCATAACCCAGCTTGTCACAGCTCCATCAACAGCTGTTGGAGTCTTGAAAGGAAAAAAAGTTAAGATCTAGAGGTTTGGGTGGGTTTTCTGCCAGTTCAGGGCTCTCCAAGTGGAGTGTTTAAATGTGCTTAAGAGGTTCAGCTGACCCCCACCATTCTGTGCAATTGCCTCACTCAAGGGGATTAAACAACTCCTGATTGACATGAGGCTGAGATGGTCAGATTGTTTGCAGGGACACTCTGAAACCCTTTGCATGGTAACATACAGGAGCTGTAACTGGCATGTGCATACTTTATAAATATCAGAGAATCGTGGGATCCGAAGCTTGTTTGGGTTGGAAGGAGCCCTAAAGATCATGCAGTCCCCTGCAAGGGCAGGGACACCTCCCACCTGGTCCCACCAGCCCAGGTTGCTCCAAGCCCCATCCAACCTGCCCTTCAACACTGCCAGGGATGGGGCAGCCACAGCTTCTCTGGGCAACCTGGGCCAGGGTCTCACCACCCTCAGAGTGAAGAATTTCTACCTAAGATCTCATCTCAGTCTCCACAGTGTAAAGCCATTCCCCCTCATCCCAACCCTCCCTGCCCTTGTCCCAAGCCCCTCCCCAGCTTTCCTGGAGCCCCTTCAGGCACTGGAAGCTGCTCTAAGGTCTCCCTGGAGCCTTTTCTTCTCCAGGCTGAACACCCCAACTCTCCCAGCCTGTCTCCAGAGCAGAGCTGCTCCAGCCCTCACAGCTACTTTGGACCCTCCTCTGGACACTCTCCAGGAGCTCCAAGAGGTCAGGCATTAGGAGGAAATTCTTCCCTATGAGGGTGGTGAGACACTAGAATAGGTTCCCCAGAGAAGCTGTGGCTGTCCCATCCCTGAAAGTAGGTATTTCCTACCAAAATGTTAATGTCCTTCAGATGTAATTGGTGCTATGTTAAAATAGTGTTATGCTAAAAAAAAAAATAATCAAAAAGGAAATCTGTGTATTTATTCTTGTCTTCTAGCTTTAAAATTAACATGAGGTAACTTGAACTTTCCGGTTTACTCTGGTGTCACAGCAGAGGACCTGATGTTACCTAGTGCAGTAGATGTTGAATACCTCTTTAGTGCCTCATCTGCTGTTCCAAAATGTTCCCCAGCTTTCACTGGCCAGCAGACAACAATGTTGAGCAAGGAAATGCTTTGTTTTCTCTTACTGACCTTTGCTTTCACTTTTACCTTTCAATGACTGCCTGGGCACAGTCAGCATTCCAAAGGGATGCACATGGAATATGTTGCCACTGAATCCCAGGTTGAGGATAACTGCTGGATGACAGAGAGGTCCCTGGCAGCAATTAAATTACTGGAGTGCACCACTTCATGTTTCATCCCTTCTGTGTTTTTCATCCTGATTCTTCCAACTTAGGCGCTACTGTTCCTCTTCTCCTTCCTTTCCAGGCACCAGAGCAATGGGGCAGTGATCTCCCGCTGTGGGCAGCCCGAGGTCAGCTGGTGGGGCTGGAGAAATGCAGATGATGAACACCTGGTCCAGTCTGTAGCCAAAGCCTGTGCCTCAGATTCAAGGTCCAACAATACCAAGTTAATGAACGGGAATTGTTCCAGAGATTTCTCCAATGGAGGGGACCTCTCTGATGTGGAATTTGGTGAGTTTGTCACTGTTCCTTTTCATAAAGGGCAGAGCTTTGTATAAAGCTTTCCTCTTACCTGGACTGGAACAGATTCAGTCCTTTGTATTAACCAGGCATCCTCCAGCTCCTGAGTGTGCAGTGCATGTGCACTGGGGGGCTTGAGTGCATCACTGTTGTAAACAATGGCAGAAGTTTCCTTTTAGTTACTCACCAATTGCATATCCTCTTCCTCAGATTCCTCCATCTCCAATGCTTCCGGAGCAGAGAGCCTGGCAATACAGCCCCAGAAGCTTCTGATCCTGGACGCACGATCCTACGCAGCAGCTGTGGCCAACAGAGCCAAAGGTGGAGGCTGTGAGTGCCCAGGTGAGCTGTGTTTCTTCAAGGTTTTTCCAGGAGGTGAATCAAAAGGATTTGTTCCAGTATAATTACACTGATACACTTCAGTCCTGTGGATTTCACAACTTGCAGGGATGCAAGTGCTGTTCATCTATGGGAAAGCTCTGGATCATTGCAGCTCTCCCTTAGCCCTTCAAAGGACAGGTTTAGCTGGTAATTGAGTCTGTTTCTCAGAGCATAAAATCAGCTGGTAACAACAGTGTTCAGTAAATGCTGAACTGTGTGGAATATGCTCATTTGCCTTCCCTTGCTGAGTCAAATATAAAAACTAGAGAGAGACAAAGGTGCCCAGTGTGCTAATGTCTAAAAAAAAATGTGAGCAAACTTGTAAAAATGCACTAAATGTAGAGGATAATAATATCCTAGAATGGTTGTGCAGAATGCAACTTTTCAGCATTTTTTCTAAAGCCAAAACATTTTTCAGCATTTATGTCATAACCCAGAGAAGCTGAAATCCTGATTAATTCTGCATTTGTAACACATTTCCAGTTATCAGTTTATGTTCTTTGGCACTTGTAAATTGTTGCTGTTATAAACAAGATACTATTTTATGGTCAACATTGGCTGTGACTGCAGCCTGTTAAAATTCCATGGGTGGAGAGTCTAGGAAAAAAACCCACACCAGACAGAAAGACTATAGATAACAAAAGCTATTCTGACTATATATTCCTGTTTTGGTCTTTGCTGCAATAGCTACACTTTGATACGTAGCCACCAGTAAGAAGAGATTAAACTTCCATTTAACACCTCAAAACTACTAAATAACTCCTCATTAGAGAATTACATTTCAAAACAGAAGAGCAACTTTGGCCCTGTATAGTGGTTCTTGAATTCTGTGGAGCAAATTTCCCAGCAGCATCTTACCATCACTTCATTTGACCTTCATGAAGTGCTTCCTTTTTGCTGACAAGTTTTCTCCAGGCATCACCAAGTTTGCTTCCCTCTCTCTGTATAAAAACTTCAGTTATGTTATTATTTCTTTTATTTAGAACATAATTCAGTACAAGTACAAAAATGCTGAACTGTCTGGAATGGACAGTTGCTTCTGACTGGAGTCCCATAGTCTATCACTCACAAGATGTTCTGCTTAGGGGCAGAATTTGTTGGGCTGGTAGCAGGAAATTAAATAATATGAAACATGCTCTTCTAAGAGACTACTGAACATTCTTGTGCAAGCACTCAACAGGTCGTATTCTGAATCCTGATGACATTTTTTTTTCCTCTTGTAGAAGAGGTCATTTTAGTAATCACTTTTGTCCAGACAGAAGTATCAGGACAGAGAAAACTAGGAAAGACTATCAAACTAGTGTTTTCCTGCATCTTCTTAGGGTGCTCCCTCTGCTTAGTGGTCCCTGTCCATATCCATAGTGCCTCCCCAGCACAGCAGAGTTGCATGGGTACATTCCACAGCAGTAGCTGAAAGCAGGCTCAGGAATTCCATCTATCTTCTGTTTTCCTGAGCTTTGGGTGTTTCTCACGTGTGTGATGCTTGTTCCTCATTATGGAAAAATTTGGAATAAAGCAGTGAATGAAGGAACCTTTCAACTATTTGAGTGGTTAGGAAAAGGAATATTTACATTATACAAAAATATACATTACAGAATCACATAGTGTGGGTCTTGAAAGGGACCTCTGGAGATCATCTAGTGCAGCCCCTGCCAGAGCAGGATCCCCTAAAGCAGATCCCACAGGAACACATCCAGGCAGGTGTGGAAAGCCTCCAGAGAAGTAGACTCCACAGCCTCTCTGGGCAGCCCATCCCAGGGCTCTGTCACCCTCAGAGTAGAGAAGTATTTTCTCATATTTAGATTAAACCTCCTGTGCACCAGTTTTTGCCCATTGCCCCTTGTCCTGTCTCTGGGCACCACTGAGAAGAGTCTGGCCCCATCCTCCTGACACCTCCTGGAGATACTGATCAGCACTGATGAGATTCCCCCTCAGACTCCTTTTCTCTAGACTGAACAGCCCTAGCTCTCCCAGCCTTTCCTAATGAGGCAGATGCTTCAGTCCCTTAATCATTTCAGTGGCCCTGTGCTAAACAGGTAAACTTTCTTTTTTTTGTAAACATTAGTTTACCAAATTTAAGAACATCCATAAATTATCAGTTAAGTACTGTTTGTGCTTCATGGTCTCTTAGGATGTTTCTTAGTCTTCGTAAAAACATTCTCTCACCTCAAGCACAGCAATATCACTCTTCCCATAGGTTTGTACTCTACTTTTTGTAACATGGAGTGAAACCCTGAAAGGAAATATACAAACACTTTGCTGACTATTCCCTGTTTTGATGTGCTGTGTTTTAATGTCTGGGATACCCACCAAACTCTTAAGTACTCCTTTGTCCTTTCAGAATATTCATAAATAGATTATTTCATCTGGCCACAGCAACAGTGGCTTGTTTGTGTGAAAAAAACCTCTTCTTTTAGAAATGAAGCTTATGTAATTTTTCATTTCTTCCCTCTTTTCTTGACATTTCCCTTCAGAATATTACCCCAACTGTGAAGTGGTGTTCATGGGGATGGCAAACATCCATTCTATCCGGAAGAGCTTCCAGTCGCTGCGTTTGCTCTGCACACAAATGCCAGATCCAGGAAAGTAAGTGGATATTTGGTGTTTTCTGCATTTGTTTACATGTTTCTGCAACTGGTTTCTTTTGCTGCTGATTTGTAAATGGAAATTCAGTGGGTTTTCCCGTGATGACTTGCCTGTGTAATAACACTAAGCAAAATATTTTCATTTCCTTGTGATTTGAGCTAAAAGAAGTAATTTAATTGGTTTATCATCATTGAAATGAACCTAGAAAATGAGATCTAAGGCTATAATGTAGCCTTTATTGATTCTAGAATATTACTACTTTCAGGTGGACTTCTAATTACTTAAGATTTACCTGCTGTTCCAGGTTCTTTAGTCTTTACAGCCTGGCTCTCCTTTGGGAAATTCTGGTGGCATTCCACAAACTTCATGCACTTCCAGTGTCATTTCAGAAGACTTGTTTCACAGTCCCCCAGAGCTGTGGGATCACTACCCTCTAATGGCCCTCCATCTCAGGAGCTTCTGAGGTTGGGTTTTCTTTAGGACACCATAGTTGCACCAGGCCTGTTTCCCCTGCCACTTCCCTACCTTGAATTTGCTGCTAAGAGCAGCAGGTGGTTTCATGGTTTCAAAGTAGATCCAGAATGGCGACCCTTAACTAACCTGGATATGCAGATCTGCACAGCTTAGAGGTTCTTAAGATACCTCCACCACACCTTGTAAAGCCTGGGAATAGTGGAGATGTGAGAGATTTCCCCCTTTCTTTGGCGCACAGGGTTGTCAGGGATGTATGGCAGAGTCCTGAGAGATGCCAGTGGTGCTGGGACTGCTGGGAGATCCGAGTCCTCAGCTCGGAGGAGAGACAGCAGAGGCTGCTGAAAGTAGTGATTACTTGAAAGATTAATTGCTGGTGACATGTTACACTCTTGTCTGAAGAACTGTTATTTAAACTTCTTGCAATTCTTAAGGAGCAAAGCAGAGACCAGAGAGGCTGTTCCTCAGCTGGCTGCCTGGTTTTGCTGCTTACAAATCTGGGAAAGTGTTAACAAGATGTAAATTAAACGTATTGAAGAATGACATTCACAACCTGTTAAAATAGGAGCTTTGGCATGGTGAATTCAAATGTCCAAAACATTTAAAAAGAGCAAACCTATCTTCCCTTGTTTTCCCCTAGTTGGTTATCAGCTCTGGAAAGTACCAAGTGGCTGCAGCACCTCTCTGTGCTGCTGAAATCTGCACTGCTGGTGGTTCACGCCGTGGACCGAGACCAGCGCCCAGTCCTGGTGCACTGCTCAGACGGCTGGGACCGGACCCCCCAGATAGTGGCACTGGCCAAACTGCTGCTTGATCCTTACTACAGGACCACGGAGGTTGGTAAACAGCTGCTGATGCATGAGCAGGGTGCTGAGTCTGGGTCGTTTTCTAAGGAAGTCTGGTTGTGGGTAACTAGACAAGGCACTAAAGTTAGCAGTTCTCCAGCAGACACGGCTGCATCCAGGCGTAAGCACAGCCTGTAAGGCAGGAGCAGATTTTATTTCCCCTCTTTGCTGTAATTGCACAGCCCTGGGCTATGCTCCCTCATATTTAGCTTAGGAATACGTTAGTACAAAGCACTAAGTGTTGCAGTTTCTATCACACCATGGCAGTTTCTCAGCCAGCTAGTGGTACAGAGCCTTTCTCTTTTCTAGGTTTCCCAACTCTGTTTTTTCAGTCTCACATTTTCATTGTCCTCTGTCAGTTATATTTCTTCTGTTTTTTCAGTCTGAATTTTTGTTTCCCCCATCACTTTTCAGCACTGTGGGATATGTGATGGCTGGATTCCATCTGCCAACCCACATTCAAGATGCCTTTGTTGTCTAGAACAGAAGCTTGTGTCTGAACACTGTGCTATAAACTGCTGCTTGAAGCCTTGGACACAGGAGGACCAGAAGTTTAATCCTTCTGGATGAAATTGTGGAAACTTCTCAGATACTTTTTCACATGGATTCTAGAAGTGTGCATCCTTTAGGTCAAAACATGCTGCCTGTCCTTGGCATAGAACTTTCTCCTGGTACCTCCTGAGAGTGCTGCATTCCTGTTCAAGGTGCAGAGTTCTCTACACACCCTTTGTCTTCTTTGTCACCACCACATCAGAGGAAACCATGAACTGTGCCTCTCTGTAAAAGGATCAGAAATGTTTAAGAAAATGAGTCTTCAGCACTGTCACATTTCAAGCTTATCAGCTATCATTCTTTTTGCTCTAATTACAGCCATTGACTTCATAAATATGCTTTACACCATTTCTCTCCACTAAGAATCAAACCCCTCCTAATCTGTGGTGGGTTTGAGGTCCTGCAAGCTGGAGTGTTGCAGGTGCTCAGCTGGGCACTGTTTTGAAACGTTCTTTGCCCTTTTCATTTGCATAAGAAATCATGCAACTTGACCTTTACTCAACCTTGTGACTGCTACATTTGGTAAACACACAGGCAAGCACTCTCAGCATGGATGCCCTTTTGAGGATGAATTGCTCTATGACAGATCTGCCCATCATTTTTAAGGGAGAGCTTTAAAATTCCCTCTGCTGTCCAGATGTTGGTTACCATGATCTGGAGGGTTTTGATCAGGGGGAGTTTCCTACTCCCTCCTGCCTAGCCAAGACAGGTCACATATCAGGAACTTCCATTCCAGTCACTGAGGACTTAATCTACCTTATTCCCTTTCCTGTAGGCTTGGGAAATCATACCTGTCCTCATTTCATTGTGCAGCATTTCAGGACACAGAGGCATTAGGTAAAGCAGTAAAGATAAGTAATGAGGCCAGTGCTGAAGAGGCCACGGTAACAGGGTGATTCCCACAAGTCTCAGACTGTCTTAGAAAACTGAACCAAAGCAAAACAGGAACTTCTCATCTGTGCTTTCCTTTCTGCAGGGTTTCCAGGTGCTGGTGGAGACAGAGTGGCTGGATTTTGGCCACAAGTTTGCAGATCGCTGTGGCCACGGCGAGAATTCAGATGACCTAAACGAGCGCTGCCCGGTGTTCTTGCAGTGGCTGGACTGTGTCCATCAGCTCCAGAGGCAGTTCCCTTGCTCTTTCGAGTTTAACGAAGCATTCCTTGTGAGTTGTGGCTTGAGAGATTGCTAAACCAGTACTAACATATTGTGGAACCCCGAGGGGTTTCTGGTTTTCCCATCTATTTGTGCTGTAGCCTGATAAAGGAAACAGGAGAACTGCCCAGAGAGAGTAGACAAAAGTACTTGTATATTTCCTATGACCTGAGGGCTGTTCACTTTTAAAACAGAGAGCCTTGAGAACTACTTTTAAACTTAAAGAAATAAGTGATATAAATTTAATAGTGTCACCTAAGAGATGCTGAAATAACTCTGCTATAATACATCAAAACAGCATGAAAACCACCAGTTACTGGCAGTAAAACTTCCCCCTACTTTGATCTTGTTTTGAGTTGAAGACTTGTCCTCTAAAAACAACCTCCCCTTTACCTTTCCATTCAGTTTTTCTGCTGAAAATATGTAGGATATATGAGCTATGTTTCTTTTCTTTTGAAGAGGACAGCTCTCCTAGGAGAAATTTGCCTGGGATGCTCAAAAATCTCTTCTCAAAGCTGGAACACAGGTCTTTGGGAAAGTGGCAGTCACTGACTGCAGGACTAGTAATCTGAAGAATAAAAGTTTTTATGTAGTGCCTGATCTACTAAGAGATTTAAAGCACATTCCTGTGATTGTGGTTGACTTGAATTACCACTTGCCAGCTCAGCCGTGTAACCCAGGGTGTGCACAGTCCTGGCTGAGCTCAGTTGTGAAATGACATACAGAAGTTTATAACTGGTTTCACAGCACACTGCTAATCTGCAGGAGCTGTGTGTGAACATACCCTTAGGATCCTGGTCTTTTTTGAGTAAGCCCCTTAATTTATAAAAAGACTGAAGTACTTGTTTTCATTTAAATGCCTGAATAATCCAATGGAAGTAATTTCTGTGCTTAAAGTTAAGTTTATATTAAGCTATTTTGTCAGACTGAGAGCACAGCATGGAATGAATAATGATCAGGATGTGTGTGCTGTGTGCATTTATACCAGTGTCCAGAAATTAACATTTTTCCCCATTATTCTTTTTCTTACTGTGCTGCAGTAATGTTTTGTAACAGGTATCATGATCCTCTTCTCTGCCTATCCAGAAGGCTGAGTTTGAATCAGCAAGAATTTTACACTTGATTGGGAACAAATACTTGTCTTTTTTCTGAGTTTTTTTAGTTCTGATTTTGGAGGATTCTGCTCTGGATTTCTAAGGAGGTGTGCAAAAAATGCTCAGTATATTTGCACAGCAGTTTCTGGGAACGGGGTGAAGGAAAGATTTGTTGCTTCTTAAGCCCGAATGTTGATTCTCACTTTATTAAGCTGATACCTTCTGCAATGTGACAGTGTCTGTGTTGGTCTGTGCAGGTCAAATTGGTGCAGCACACCTACTCCTGCCTCTTTGGTACATTCCTGTGCAACAATGCGAAAGAGAGGGGAGAAAAACACACTCAGGAACGGACCTGTTCTGTCTGGTCTTTGCTGCGGGCAGCAAACAAAGCCTTCAAAAACCTGCTCTACTCCTCCCAATCCGAATCTGTATGTATCCTTCATTCCCCACCACGTGGGGAGAATCCCTCTGGGGGCTCCCAGGTATCCTGTTCTTAAGTGTGTGCCCAAGCTTGTAGGAGTGGGATGTATCGTGCAGAAGTGTCCTCATGAACACACTGTGGGGATGGGCCTTTCCAGAACAGTGCTCAGCTCTCCTCACAGGTGCTTACCTTTGAACACTGACATTTCAAGCCTTGCATTAAATTGGCTGATATTTGAGGATTGTCAACTGCAACCCTAGGCTGGAAGTGTATTTTTTGTAACTAAATGTTTTGCTTTATTTTTTGAAGTAGAAAACATTTTGCTGTTTGACTGATAGACCTTTCTAGAGAACTAAGCTGTGTCAGAGGTAAAACTGCAGAAAGACCTAGCCACTGTGCCCATATTCATCTGAAATCTAAACACAAAAAGTATCTCAGATTGTTTAGTCTATCTTCATTTCTCTTAAGACTTCCACATTTTCAGTGCAGCTCCTCTGTGGTAACAGGTGACTGGAGCTTCTGGGAGGGGCCTCACCTTTTTGTGTATGTGATAAAAGTGCATGTGAAGCATTGAGGGATGCAGAGTGGTGGGCATGTGGACAATCATCAAATGTCATCATGATTAGGGCAGCAAAGACTTCTATAAATATTTAAACCCTTTTTGTTTATAAAAGTATCAGATACCATAAACCCAACTGCAAGGACTCTGCAGTGTTTTTGTATATGATAGATGTGGCTTTTAATGCTTAGAGTAAAATTAAAACCTGGCTTAGTAGGGAAGAGTTTATGCCGACATTTGTTACAAAAAGAGTAATTTTATATTCACATCAGCCCTCTGTCCCTGTCTGTCTCCCCTGGATGTGCAGCCACAGGCAGCACCAGAGAGATCCCTTCAACACTTTGCAGCCTGACACAGTCAGCATAGGAGCAGACATGGTAGCTGAGACCTTGCAGAGAAATATGGCTCCTGAGGACTTTCAGAGCTCTGGATGCATCTACATTTTCCCTGAAAATGCCTGCAGGTTTCCCCAGGACAGCTCAGAGTGCTCATAAAGCAGATGCTGTGGACAGGTTGTCTCCTTGGGCTGCCCTTCCATGCCATGTCCTGTGGTGGAGGTGCAGGCTGGGTGACCTGGCCTCTGTTCTCAGGGAATACTGCACTGCAGTGGACTGAGCTAATTAGGATAGTCTGGCTGTATGTGGGAGTTCTGGTGATTTCCTGCCTTGAGTTCATCTTTTTGTGGTTTTCTTGAGTGTTTAAAAGGTGCCTCTGTGATGTAGCCACATCTGTTGTAAAACTGTAGTCGTTCAAGAGCAGCATCCACCACACCAAGCCACCCCACAGCAGCATCCACCACACCAAGCCACCCCACAGCAGCATCCACCACACCAAGCCACCCCACAGCAGCATCCACCACACCAAGCCACCCCACAGCAGCATCCACCACACCAAGCCACCCCACAGCAGCATCCACCACACCAAGCCACCCCACAGCAGCATCCACCACACCAAGCCACCCCACAGCAGCATCCACCACACCAAGCCACCCCACAGCCCTCTTCCTGCTCTGTGACAGAAAAACCTGGCTATTCTCTGCCTTTGTCTGCATTTGCACAAGGAAGTTGCCTGAGAAAACATGGGAATTGATGGAGCGACCCAAGGTGTTTTTAAATTTTAACAGCATATTCCACAGTCAAGGAATTCCTTTTAAGAGCAAGCTGTCTCTTCAGCAAAGTATTTCTGCATGTTCTTAATTTTTACCATATGAGTGCTCCCATGAAAAGCAGGGTTAGCTTTGATGAACTGGAGCCTGCAGGAAGAGGTTATTAGTTCAGCCCTCATTTGGCAGGGTGAAATGTGCACCAACAATGGCCCACTGAATTCTTCAGCAGTTTAAATGGCTCAGGAGCATTATTAAGGTGCAGATTCACACAGAGCACATTGCAGTAATTCATTCATGAGAAGCTGAAAGCCAGCATTGTCATGTCTCAGCCTCTGTCTCAGAAAGGAAAGATAATTATACATCCAAGTGTAGCTGATTAAAAATGCCACTGCTGCTCCCTGGCCTTCCAAGGCACTGGAGATCAGCAGAGCCTCCTGGCTTCACACCTCAACAGCAGACTGCCCCAGGCAGACCTGAAGATTTCTCTGCACTCTGAGGTTGAGCAGATCCCTGTTCCTGAGCTCTGCCTGTTCTCCCCTCAGGTGCTGTATCCCGTGTGCCATGTGCGGAATTTAATGCTCTGGAGTGCTGTTTACCTGCCCTGCTCCTCCCCCTCCACACCTGCCGATGACACCTGTGCCCCATACCCTGCTCCAGGCTCTAGCCCTGAAGATCAGCCTCTGGGCAGGTGAGCCTAGAGCCCAGAAATCCCATCCTGTAAAGTAAGATCAACAGAGAATATTGTGGGATATAAAGAGGAGGATACTTGGGGTGGGAGGGAGGGCTTTTTCACAGGGTTATTTGGGGGACTGTTTGACCTGCCCAAAAGCAGGTTGTCTTCAGTTTTGAAGGCTGTTGTTTCAGAGGTGATAGCATAACAGAGTGAAGATTATTAAGCTCTGGGTATTCCATAGGCTTGTAGGATTCCTTCTGTCCTGGTGGGCCCCCGCCCCCCCCCCCCCCCCCCCTGCCGATGACACCTGTGCCCCATACCCTGCTCCAGGCTCTAGCCCTGAAGATCAGCCTCTGGGCAGGTGAGCCTAGAGCCCAGAAATCCCATCCTGTAAAGTAAGATCAACAGAGAATATTGTGGGATATAAAGAGGAGGATACTTGGGGTGGGAGGGAGGGCTTTTTCACAGGGTTATTTGGGGGACTGTTTGACCTGCCCAAAAGCAGGTTGTCTTCAGTTTTGAAGGCTGTTGTTTCAGAGGTGATAGCATAACAGAGTGAAGATTATTAAGCTCTGGGTATTCCATAGGCTTGTAGGATTCCTTCTGTCCTGGTGGGATGTAAGCTTTCATTTGATTGTCTTGGATTTGAGTTCTTTTTCCCTGTTGCATAACCATGTCTTTGCTTTTTTGTACAATGATTCTGAGCACATGTTATTAGGAGGTGGGAGCAGCCTGTAAGCATTTGTGCTTTGTGGTAAAGGGATTATTCTGGGAACGTTTGAAGTCTGATTGAACATATTTTCCTGATGGCAAACAAAGCAAGTAGTGAAGCAGCTCTGCACTACAGATGGTCACAATGTGCTCCTAGATAATACTTCACAGAAGTCCATTAGTTAGCAGATTGTTACCATCCTAATTGTGGGGGGGAGTTTTTAAACCATAGTAGCTAAATGTTTAGGAAAAGAAAAAAAACAAAAAAGCAAAAAAACAGCCCCCTGACTTTGGATTCTGATGGTTTGTACCTTTCTAGGTTACCAAAGACAAGATCATTTGACAATCTGACAACAGCCTGTGATAGCAGTGTGCCTACAGCCAACCGACGTAGCAGCGACCCCAGCCTCAACGAGAAGTGGCAGGAGCACCGGCGCTCCCTGGAGCTCAGCAGCCTTGGGAACCCTGGGGAGGATCCCTTTGATGGAGACAGCCTGAGCAAGCAAGGCAGGGCTCCCGTTGGAGCAGAGCTCTCTGTTGCAGCTGGTGTGGCAGAGGGACAGATGGAGAACATTTTGCAAGAGGCCACTAAAGAAGACGTTGGTCTGGAGGAACACTTAAAGGGTAGCTTAGAGACTGTAGGTAAAGGGGATGAGATTGGCCTGGATAAGGAGAAGAGAACTGAAAATCCACATGGGTATGTCAGTGACCTCTGTGAAAAGGCTGAGGCAAATAAAGGTGTTGTGATGAACAATCCAGCATCCAATCCACATCCAGTTTCACAAGGTGCTTCTGACCTTAAAGGACAACAAGCTGAGCATGCTGATCTCAGCAGTGCTCTCCAGAAGTTACCTCAGGTGAAAGGACTACAGGCTGCTCCCTTGGAGGCCTTTGTAAATAGAGACACTCAAAAGAACACAGAGGAAGAAGGTGTGAGCAAACTTGAAGGAGAAGCAGAGGGCCTGCACAACCCAGCCAGCCTGCCATTACCTCTTACAATCCCACATGAGGCAAGAACATCCAACATTGAAAGTTCTACAGAAACCTTAACAGAGAGCGAAGCAAAGCAAGATCTCCTTCCTAGGGGCCCTTGCCATAGACCTCACCTGGTGGACAACAGTGCTGATGGACTTTCTTACACTATGGAAAACAGGCCCGAGGGGGAGAACACGCTAGAACTGCAGAAACTGGGAACAAAAGTACATAGGACTTCTGGTAGCAGCAACACACACATCCCGATGCCTTCCCCTTGTGCCTTGCCTTTAGCTGAATGTAAAGATGAGATTGTGTGTAATGGAGAGCTGGAGCCTGAGAACAAGATGAGTGAGAAGCCTGCAGGGTTTGGTGTCACCCAGAGGTTCCACGCCACCAACGGACACTGTGTGAACGGAGAGGACGGCCGGCTCAAGGCCTCTCTGAGCCGGCAGGTCTCCACGGCCAGCTGTAGTTCTGCACAGTTTCACCTGAGGAACTTGCACCAAAAATGGATGTTCAGTCATCTGGGTAAGCAGCAGGCAGCCAGCAGCCCTGACCAACCTGCCCGAAGTCACCTGGACGATGACGGGATGCCCGTCTACACCGACGTGATCCAGCAGCGCCTGCGCCAGATAGAAACTGGCCACCAGCAAGAGGTGGAGACCTTGAAGAAGCAAGTGCAAGAACTGAAGAGCCGGTTGGAGAGCCAGTTCCTGAACAGCTCCTTACGTCTCAATGGTGATTATGGAGATGAAGTGGTAAGTGAAATGGTAACTGGGCCTCTGCTGGAAACAGTGGGCTAGTTCGGCACCTTCTGGAGCTCACCGTGTTGCCAGCTCTGGTTCCTGGGTCAGACAGTGATTTTTTTGGCCAGGCAGGCTTTTGTAAAATTCTCAAGGTCATTCTGAAAGGGCAGACAACTGAGTGCACGGCTGGTGGCAATGAGTGATGACTGTTTTCACTGTATTTCAGTTGGACCATAAATGGACCAAGGGTTTGTTTCAAGGTGGGTGTTTCACAGCCAGACTCAAACACCTGTGTTGGCCTTTTCCCAAAACCCATTTGTTTTACTGTTGTTTTCATATACAACCAAAGACTTTTTTTTTTAAGGACAGGAGTGTGTCCTTCACTGGGACCTCATCTTCTGGTACTCAGACTAAGAAAGATGCAGCAGTGGCTGCTCTGTGCTCTCAAACCCAGAAGTTCCAGCCATCCCCTTGTCAGGTGGCTGCCCAGCTCAAGGCTCATTAGCTGTAATGAACTAAGATCTTTAGTGACAGTGAGGTTTGTTTGTTGTTTTTTTTCAACAAATTAGGGATTTTAAGGGAGCTTATAAACTGTTTGTGCTTTTATTGCAAGTGTTTTAAGCCATTAAAGTAGAAACTGAAGTTTGAGGCATGATTCAAGTACAGTACACTCCTTTCTGTAACAAGTAAGTTATCTATGTAGTTGTGGTTGCAAAAGCAATTTTAGAATCAGAAAATAAATAAGTGTAATTCCAAGTTCAAGATCTTAATAGCTAGAAAGTTTTCTAGATGCCTTTCTAAGTCTTGAGCCCATTTTTTTTGAAGTTGCTTCTCCCCAGCCTGTTTTTTACTGAATTTCTCCTCCTCTTTTGACTAATAAATACCAATAAAATGTCAGAAGTGGTGCAGTCACTGGCCTTGTACTGTTGCTGGAAGGTAGCAGTGGTTTAAGAGTGAGCAGGAACCTGTTCTTTAGAAGCCTTCAAGTTCTGTGGATTGCTGCAAAACTTGGTTTTTCAAAGGCCAAATATTCCTGGTTCAAAGAAATGTAGAGGGGAGAGATGCTTGGGGAACAGGCAAGAATAGGGGGAGGGAAAGGGGCACAAGGGGGAAGATGAGGACACAGAATCTCTGGGTTTGTATCTTCTTGTGGTTTTGAATGCTGGGCAGAGCCTTGGCCCTGAGGTTGATGTATCAACACCCATCCAAAAGTTCATTTTCCTACCTGCACATCATAGTGGGCTTGATATGCCTGCAAAATTGAAAAAAAAATTACAAGGGGTTTCCAAGTTATGTTTGTTTAATATTGGGTAGAAGTGGCAGAGGTGCTGGATAGTCCCAGGTACGTTTGTTGTGGAAAATATCCTGAGCCCTTTTGGCTATTCCCATTGGAGACAGCAGCACTGAGAGCTCCTTTTGGGCATCCATGCCAGCTTGGCTGAGTGTGGCTCCTGCCTCTGGCAAAAGCTTGGATTCCTTGGAGAAATTTGGTGCTTTGGTTTCATTTGTTATAATCCCATTTTTTAAGAGCCTTCATGAACTGGAGTTGCAGGGCTGGATGTGAGGCTGCACTGCCTGGTACAAAATTCACCTATTTGAAGAAACTGATCTGTCTTCTATTTGTGCCTCAGCTTGGGAGCAGCAGGTGTTCTGTGGAGCTCCAGAGGTGCCCATTCCTTAGGCACACAGAGACAAACTCAAGATTTCTTGCTATTTTGAACATCCTTTAAGGGCTGGCTGAGTTTTAAGTCAGTTAAAATATAACTCAACCTGGCTTGACTATATTAAGGAAGCATTATTCTCCTCCAAAATACATATGGAATATATGGAATATGTATAGCTCAAATTCTGAGTTTCCCATGTGTGACTTGGCTTATATTTCCTGGAATTTTTGCTGACAAAAGGTTATAGGTATTTCTAGTATTAGTTTTGAAAGTGAAACAACCTTGGAAAGGAAACAAAACCATGAAACTGGAGCCACTGACAGCAGCTTTTTTTGGTTAATCACCCAAAGTGTTGCCAGAACCCTGTGCTAACACAGTAGAAAGCAGATTTTGAATCCATTCATTCTACCTCACATCATCCTGTAGCCAGAGGATCAAAACCTGACCTGGTGGGAATTCACCACTGCACAAACCACTTCCACACGTGCCATGTCTAGTCCAGGCCAAAAAATATTCTGCCTTTGCTGCCTTATACGTAGGTGACTGATGACATTCCCCCTTCCAGTGCAGACATCACCTGCTCTTTTTTAGCAGGAGAGGCCCTTTCCAGTGCTCCCCACAGCTGCCCAATTGTATTTGTACAGAAGCAGGACTATGGGAAGGTTCTGTTCATCTGTGTTTGTTTGCCAACAGACTTCTATACCCGACTCGGAAAGCAATCTGGATCAGAACTGCTTGTCTCGCTGCAGCACAGAGATTTTCTCTGAAGCCAGCTGGGAGCAGGTGGATAAACAGGACACAGAGGTACAGACTAAATCCCTGTAAATCACTCCTTCTTCCAGTAGGATGGAATATTCATAATTCAAATTATCCTACGGCCTGTGGTCACTTGCCACTTCTTGTGAACTTTCTTCCTCGCATTTCACTTGTCTCTTGTACTTTGAATCTCAGTACCTGTGCCTATGAGCCCTCTGCTGTGTGTGAAGTCTCTGAGGAGCTGTGGAAGGGATGTTTAGCTGATGGAGCCTTAGGTGGACACATATTTGATGAATATTCTTGGCCTGAATACTTCTAAAGCACAGAAAAAAGAAACAGGGCATTGGACTTAATGACTTAATTTCTGTTCATCTGAAGGAATTTAGCGTGTCTGTTCTCAGAGGGAAAGTTTCTGTCTGTCTTCAATTGTTGCAAACACTGAATTGGTGCTTTTAAACAGAACAAGTACTTCCCTTGTGGGGCTGTGCTTTGAATTTGTGAGCTCAATGAAATGTTTCTAATTAATTGCCCTCTGGTCTGTCCATTCTCCCAGGTGACACGATGGCTCCCAGACCACCTCGCTGCGCACTGCTACGGCTGCGACAGCACGTTCTGGCTGGCCAGTAGGAAGCACCACTGCAGGTAACCACTGAGGACAGCAGGGAGGGAGGCATGGACAGAGCTTGTTTTCTTCCCTCTTCCAGGAAGGGGCTTTTGCCCTTTTGCCACATTCCTTTCCCAGGGGTGAATGTCAGACTGAGTGCTTTAGCATGGGACTGTACACACTCCTGAAGGAACAGAGAGCTTTGGGAGAGCAGAACATTTTGTCCAGTTCATGCAGAGTATATATTTAAAAAGCCAGATTTTTGTATCTGCTCCACCCTGGCCTAAACAGATCCTGCCTCTTTTCCTCTAACTGGATTTGAGGGCAGATGGCTGTTTAGCTTTTGAAGAGGGTGTAAGTAATAAAAAAATACAGGTTTATCATCTTAGCATTCAGTAATTCCATACTGCAACTATATAAATAGCATCTTCTTCCCATTACTGGTTGTAAACCTGCACCTTCCCTTCTCTGACCACTCTTTC